GCCACACCTACTCCAACAGGGCCACACCTACTCCAACAGGGCCACACCTTCTAATACTCCCTGGGCCGTGCATATACAAACCATCACAGTAACTTACCTCCTGTCCTTGTGCTAGCTGTGAGTTCAGGTGAACCCAGCCCTATAGTCCAGCCAATATCTATTGTACTTCTCAAATGTTTTAAGAAGTGATTAGGAGGCATTTATTCCCTGCTACTGATAACTTCCAGTTGCAAAGAAATAAGGTGCCATTTCTCCTTAAAATGCTCAGCTTTCACCAAGTGTGGACAATAGCTTACTCTCTAAAAGCTATCGTGGTAAAGCTATCGTGGAAAGCTATGCTTTCCAGATGATCCTGCAAAAGCCACTTCCAGAAAAGCTTGCTCAATCGTTTGAAGCCCAAGTCATAAGCAAGTTTCCAAAATGACCCCGTGAGAGCTACCTGGGTTGTACTGTTCTCGGGTCTTTACCACAGCCCCGGCTTTGCTGTATGTCTGTACAGCCTGTGATGCTTTCTTGTAATTTTGTTGTGTTTGTTTTGTCTTGGTTTGGTTTTTTTAGACAGGGTTTCAATGTATAGCTCTGGCTGTCTTAGACCTCACTCAGTGGACCAGGATGGTGCCAAACTCATAGAGATCCACCTGCATCTGTCTCCTGAGTGCTGGGATTAAAGGCGTGGGCCACCACTGCTTGGCAGGTTCTTATTTCTAAGTACATGGATGTCCAAGTTTTTTAAATGATTTGAGCAAACAGGACTAGCATCCATATCGGTTTTCGATGGACAAGGCTGGCATCTGAGCACCTGCCTAGGTGGTTCTTACATGACACAGCATAAACAGTGACTTCAAGATGAAGACAAAAACACTAGGTAAGATATCCAGAGAGCTTCAGAATGTAGACTCAGCCTGAGGGGTCAGAAGTGTCCTGTGTCATATCCTAGATATATGTAAGTGATCTGTTGTATGCTCTTTTTCCTGCTTTCTCAGGATTTTTAAAAGTCTATCACAGCAAGGCCAGCCATACAAGATAATATACTACATTACTGAATTCGTTTTACAGGCAACAGAACTGCTGCTGAGACATTCATTGTACTTTCCGCCAATGCCACACTACACCTGAAGCCAGTAGTCTTCTCCCATGCTATTTAGGTCAGAGACACTCGGGGCCTATCATTTAGACTCGAAGGATGAGTGCTCTGAACGCTTCCACGGCACAGAAGCACCAATGACCAGAAGAGTCCAAAGGGAGTGGACCTCCAGATGATAGTGCCAGGGTTCAAAACACTCTTCGCTCTCTCTCAAGCTCGTCTTCACTAAATGTTTCATGGTGCTGTTTCGTATGTTGAACTAGAGAATGCCCCGTACAAGAAGCTTCTCGAATTGCTGCTGTACGCAGAAGACAGTGAGGTAGCTAAAACAAACTCAGATTCCCTATGTGTGTTACTGGAAAGCAAAGCCCAGGGCCACGATTATGTTAGGCTTATGGCCTACCGCTGAGCTGCACCCTCAGTCCATAGCAGAAACAAAACATATACAGAAGAGAGTGAGGAAGACAAAGCTATGCTTCGTGAACTGGAGGAAAAGAAAAATACAGGTGTAAAAGAAATTCTGAGGGTATTGGCTTTGTTTTCATTTTTTGTTTGGAAAGACGGATCTCAGAAGTGTGGTCAGAAGAAGCCTTGAATTTACTCTCTTGCTTCCATTTCCCAACTACTAGGATGACAGGCAAATGAGGCCAGGTCCAGCTTAACACAAAATTTCTGAGGCTGAAGTAATTAAGATGGGCAGTGAAAGGAATAAGAAAACACAATATAGAGCCCTGTATAGTACCCCTAAGAGAATAATTTACGAAGTAATTACTGCGCAGTAGGTTCTGTTAGGGCAGAAAGCCGTTAAACAGCTGCTCGTGCCAAAACCACACAATAACCCTAGCTCTGAAAAGCCTCACTCTGAGGCCAACAGTAGACTCAGAGTGGGCTTGATGGAAAATAAACAATTCAACCCCATAGATGAATTTCATTAAGAATAAATTTCAGCCAGGCCTAATAGGCCTGTAATCCTAGCTACAGGACAGGCCTGTAATCCCAGCTACATAGGGAGCTGAGGCAACACGGCAAGTTAAAGAGCAACCTGCCTTAAGGCAGTTAACAGTTAGCCCAGGCAACTCAAAGAGACCCTACCTATAACCCCAGCTCTGGGAGCTGGGATGATAGGGAAGGCGGAGACAGAACTGCTAGAGCACTATCTCAAAGGAATAAAGCAGATATGGATAGAACAGGACACCGGACATCCCTCCTCTGGCCTCCACACAAGCATGCAGCCGTGTGTATAGCACACACATAAACCACACTCACACTCAAAAAGAAAGAAGAAAGAAGAAATTTTAGAAAGTTTAACTAACAAAATGATACAGGACTTATCACAAGGATAACTTTGATATAGATATCAATTCAGTAATATATTTTCCCAACTATGTCAAGTCTGGACACAGAATAAGTGTATTAAATGTGTGAGATATTTCTTCCTCCATTTTCCCCAACACTCACTTGGATCTGGTTCACAGGAGTAGTTGCTGACGTCCCCCAAAACGAGGATGTGCTGTTTCCCATTCTAAAATAAATGACAAAGATCAGCACAGTTAATGAGGTAACTGGCTAGCAGAGAAGACAGCCTTAAATACAAGCATGTCCAAACACACAAGGCAGGAAAAAGCTTTATCAGCACAAGACACCAGTTCACAAAGTACTTGTCTGCTAACACCAACAGGGCCCATGTGCTTCTTTAAGCAGCCTTTCAATACATTTTACCTGATAAAATCAATCTCTGGGTCGAACATTCAGTACAATCTTATTCTTAAGTAAATTCATAATCACCAAATATCAAATATTCTGCCCTCATAACGGCCTGACCGCTGGCAATAAAATGTGTTTTGCATTTCTTCTGAAAACATACAGAATTGAGGTGTGGAGAGCTGGAGAGATGACCCGGCGATTGCCATCTCTTGCTGCTCTTGCTGAAGACCCAGGTTCAGCTCCCAGAAACCAGATCAAGCCAGCTCAGAAACAAGTACCTGTAAATCTATCTCTAGAAGCCCTCTTCTTCCTGGACACTGTGAAGCAAAAATGCCTACAAAGACTTTTTTTTTTTTTTTTTTTTGGTTTTTCAAGACAGGGTTTCTCTGTGTAGCCCTGGCTGTCCTGGAACTCAGAAATCCGCCTGCCTCTGCCTCCCAAGTGCCGGGATTAAAGGCGTGCGCCACCACCGCCCGGCGCCTACAAAGACTTTAAGGGAATAAAAGTTTTCAACAACCCTATCTATAGTCCCCAATCTCTCAATCCACCAAGTAGGAAAAATAACCACTCCCACTCAAAGGGGTTTGTGAAGAATAAGCTGACATATACAGAAAGCAAAACTGTACCTTACACAGTAAACATCAATATTACTTGACATGACTCCGAATTACAGGACCCTCATTAACTCATCGGTTCTGTAAAACCTGAGAGCTTAGAGAAAGGCATAGTTAGCCAGGTGTGGCTAGGCATGCCTTTAGTCCCAGCATTTGGAAGGCAGAGGCAGGTAGAACTCTGTGAGTTGAAGCCTGTCTGGCTTTCACATGAGTTCAGGACACCCAGCTCTATAATTAAGAGACTGTCGCAAAAATAACGAAATTTAAAAAGTACTCACTGAACAGGGATATCTACCCAAAAAAAACTGGCCTGCTAATCATCATCGAGTCTTTCCAATAATTTTAGAATATTTTCCCCTCATTCATTTTTCTTGATCACCTAGCAATGCCTGATGACATTCTTGGAGCAAATTAGACATGGTGCGAACTACTATCTCAAAAATATCAAAAAGATTGATGCTACAAAGGACCATTGCTCAAATATCTAAGAAATAGAGGTAAGATAAAGAATTTAAAGTTCGAATGGTTTTTAAAATTTTTTTTATTGTTAATTTGAGTTGGTTGGGGGGTTTGTTGTTGTTGTTTTGTTTTTGTTTTTTGTTTTTTTGTTTTTGGAGACAGGACCTATGTAGACCAGGCTGATAATGAGACTCAGAAGTCTTCCTGCCTGTCTTCCAATGCTGGGATTAAAGGTATATATGCCAGCCGGACAGTGGTGGTGCACGCCTTTAATCCCAGCACTTGGGAGGCAGAGGCAGGAGGATTTCTGAGTTCGAGGCCAGCCTGGTCTACAGAGTGAGTTCCAGGACAGCCAGGGCCACACAGAGAAACCCTGTCTCGAAAAAAACAAAAACAAACAAACAAAAAACCAACAAATAAAGGTATATGCCACCATGTCTAGCTTAGAGATATACTTCCGATTAAAGAAAAAAAAGGTGTCCTTCCACAAAAGCAATTCTTCCTTATGGGTGTATTTATAGTAACTTTATGGTGTTTGTTTGTTTGTTTGTTTGTCTAGAGACAGGGTTTCTCTGTGTAGCCTTGGCTGACTTGGAACTCTGTAGATCAGGCTGGCCCAGAACTCACAGAGATCACCCACTCTTGGTCCAGAGTGCTGTGATTAAAGGTGTGTGCCACTACACCTGGCTACTTATATTAAATACAAAAGTAAGCTATTTTAAGCTTAAAATTTACAGGCCCCAGTCAAAACATGTCTTAAGTCATAGTGTGGAGTTTCAGTCCTGTTTCTGAATGAATCCACATTAAATGGCCTTTTCCAGTTCATGTTAGCCCTGGATGATGAACGCCTGCTCTACCCGGTCACTCTGGAACACTTCAAATAAGCTGTAACAAGCATCACTTTCCATAACAACAAAGATAAGTTAGAGACAGGAATCACTGCAACTAAATGTGCACTTGTCATTAGCATTCCTAGCTCCCCAACAGATGAACAAGGAAACCACTAAAAAAAAAAAAGCACTGTGTGCTTATTTCCAGGTAGAAAGAGGGTAGGAGGGAGTGAGAGGCTTGGAAGACTGTGCCCTACTTTGTGGGAGGCGGCTTTGAGGGGAAAAAAAAAAAAAAGCTGGCTGAACTTGTGAAATTCAAAGCAGTTGGAAAGAGCCAGATGGCCTTGCCCTGGAAGAATGCTGGATGGTATCAATCCAATCTACTTGGGCTTTCAAGTCTAAAAACAAAATCTCTAATCTAGCATTTACCTCCTCCTCAAACCTATGTAGCATTTACAACAGATGAGCTTTTCTAAGAAATTAAAAGGCATATTCTTTGCCAAAGAAAAAGCTCCAAAAAGGCACCCTTACCTTTCTTGAGGCAGTCCCTTCAATTTCTAGTTTAGTTTTCCTGTTAAGGAAAGGGGCAGGCACAGCATAAATGCCCAATAAAATACCTCATCATTGGTAAAGCACCAACTAGTCCCGCTCCATTTATGGACACCTACTAAGAGGTGGTAGGTGGGCAAAGCAGGATTATACACCAGATATATCCAACAGGAAACAGTTCTAATAATCTGTCAAATAGTTAACATCACGTCATCAGTGCTTTCAGAAGATAAGTCTCCCTGGAAGACAGGCGAGCGTAGGATGCTGAGACAGATGTCTTGACAGCTGCCTAGGCCAGGCCTGGTAGGCCACTGCTGGTGTGCCAGCCCAGGGTTATGCCAAGGAGGGAAGCCAAGGAAAGCAACGCTCCCATCAAGCCAGAAACCACATCTACAGGATGCCAGAGGTACTAGCTGCAAAGCCTTGGACATTTAAAAGCATTAGTCAAGTTCACTTCCTGTGCGACAGGATAGCCCAGATTTAGCATCAACATAAGAACCACAAAGTTCCCACAAGCAGGGACGTCTTTTTTTTCAGGGTCGTCCAGGTCTACCCTGCGTTAAAAACCACACGCAGTGTATGTGAAGCTCAGCCTAGGGTGTCTGTTGTTTGTCCCCAAGCTGGCCGGGATCACTGGGGAAGGTCCACACTAACACTATCGCAGGGACCCTCGCGCCCCGCAGGCCCGCCCGCCCCGCCGCGCCGCGTACCCCGAGCCCGCAGCTCCAGCCGCGCCGCGCCGCCCTGCCAAGATCCTCCCGCTCGCCACCAGCCACCTCCCCGCCGAAGCCGCGCGGCGCCAGGACATGGCCAAGGGTCCCGGCAGCCTCGGGGAGAGCAGCGGGCGAGCGAGACCACGACGCCGGGAGCCCGCCCCTCCGCCTGCCTCGCTCCGCCCCACCGGGCTGCCCGCGCCGCCGCCGGGCTCGCCGCGCTTCCTGGCTCCCCTGTCTCCGCGCGCCCGTGAGCCCGCGCGCCCACGAGCCCGCGCGCCTACGAGCCTGCAGGTTCGCATCCTCAGCGGTAGAGCGAGGCACTCACCTGCCCGCCGAGTTCTCCCGACCTCCTCACGCCGGCATTCAGGGTTAAGAAAGAGGCTTAGAGAGAGCCACAGGAAAAATTACTCGAGGCAGAGTGGTGACCCGGTGTTTACCTGAGGGTGGTAGGTAGCTCAGTCACCGCCTCCGGTCCGACAGGTTTAGGATGTGAAACATGGACCGAACCGGAATGACATCTTAAGATTAACTTATTGATCAGGAGTCCATAGGCAGGTTGAATTTTATACTCAGAAAATGAAAGACAAAGATGGCCGAATGTTTAATGTTCTTTCCGAAGAAAACAAGGTGGTGTTTTTAAGATAAACTGAAATTAGGAAACGAATTAGCCCAGAGATAGTTGATCATGGCTTTAACAGCCATGGCTCCCACAACTCCTAAAGACAAACCTACCCAAGCCGCTCAGTGATGGTAATAATAGCCCTCTGTACGTCTTTTTCTTAAGTTCAGGGGAATCCGCCCTTAGTTTTATACACTGAGGGTACTGAAACTGTGAAATCCAAGGTCTAATGGTATCTCTAAAACTATGAACAACTGTTGGAAAGATCCATACCTTTATTGAGCCTTCATGCTGAACCTAAACTTAAGATTCATGTTGCCAAGGTACAAAATTAGAACTTCTGTTTATGGTTGTTCTTTTTTTTACTTCCCTTGGTCTGTATACCATGAAATCATAAAAGAATGAAAGTTAGTTGCAAAAACAAATCTCCCAGGGGCATAACATGTTTTTTCATACGTCCAAATTTACTTTTAAAATCAAAGTTTGTTATTTATATATAATTTTAGAGTATCTCTTTACCAAGAGATAGCGAGTTAGGAAAGTTACTGTGGCTTTTGTTGTTGTTGTTGTTTGTTTTGAAGTAGAACTTTCAAAATACAGTTTACCTCTTGGCTGGATTAAGCGAAACAATGTAAACCCCTCCCTCTTTCTAGAAATACATTGTTTACTCCCAGACTGTCTCAATTTTACCTTCCTCCAGCATCATCTCTTAAATGCTGGGATACCATGAACCACCAGGTCTCCTGCACAATTTAATTTTAATATACTGTAGATGAGATTTTTACTGAGCAATTAATCTTTTAAAAAACATCAGAATGCAAGTACTAACTTAAACATAATGCATTGGACCAGACTGATACTTTCCAACTTCCTGTGTTTCTTGAGCTAGCTATAAAAATACTTTTTGTCCACACTTGGGACTGTAAGCAAAAGGGCGCAGTAAAATCACTAACTTAACCACTCCATGGCTAGAAGGAAAATTTTTGGGGAGTCGAGGCAGTGTGTGTGTGTGTGTGTGTGTGTGTGTGTGTCTATCCAAGGTAATTGACCTTTTGGAGCAGATTAAGAGAGGTCCCTGGTAAACAGAAGCCGAAGTTAGGCTTCTGTTTGCCCACCAGGTCAGAGTCCTTCTGTTTAGGACACTGTCAGCAACACTGCCGTTTTGAGAAGTTGCTTTGGACCAACAGTGATGACTTCAACAAGATGAGGATTTGGGGGCCAGGAGGTGGTGGTGCATGTCTTCAATTCCAGACTGGAGAGGCAAAGGACATCGGATCTCCAAGTATGAGGCCATCCTGATCTACAGAGCTAGTTCCAGGGCTAAACAGAGAATCCCTGTCTCAACAAACAAACAAACAAAAACAAAAAGGAGAAAGAGGAGGAAAAGGAGGATTTGGGCATAGAAGAGAATGATAGTTACTACCCTGGGGAGGAGGAGAAATAGATAGATTTTACTGAAAGTGTTAACTTATACAATACCAAAAAAGGTTCTACATATGTAACATACAGATCTAACATACAGCACTATAAATAGACTTCATAATACTGTATTTTATTCTTGAAATTTGCTAAAGATATCGCTTTTAATTTTTCTAACAGGAACTAAATGAAACTCTTAGGAGTGATGGATATGTTAATTAGCTTGGTTGCTATAGTTACTGTACTTAAAACATCAATTTGTGGGCCAGAGAGATGACTCAGCTGCCAACCCTTCAGTTGTACTCTAACCTGCAGATATGTACACAGACACACACACACAGTGTTTTTAAAATGATCAAGTTAGCATGGCTTGGTAACTCACACCTTTTTTCCCAGAACTGGGGAAACAGAGGCAGTTGAGTCTTTATAGTTTTAAGAATAGCCTGATGTACAAAGTGAGTACCAGGACAGCCAGGGCTGATACACAGAGAAACTCTGTCTGGGGCGGGGGACGGGGGGGGGGAATCAAGTTGTACACCTTAAAGAACTTTGTCATTTTTACCTTAATAAAACTGAAGAGAAGTAAATGGAAATAGAAGATAGATAGAAGCTGGGCAGTGGTGGCACACACCTTTAATCCCAGTACTTGGGAGGCAGAGACAGGTGGATTTCTGAGTTCGAGGCCAGCCTGGTCTACAGAGTGAATTCCAGGACAGCCAGGTCTATACAAAGAAACCCTGTCTCGAAAAAAACAAACAAACAAAAAAGAAGATAGATAGATAGATAGATAGATAGATAGATAGATAGATGATAGATAGATAGATAGATAGATAGATAGATAGATAGATAGATGATAGATGTGCTGGTTCTTTGACTACATAGTGTGGGTGTAATGTAGGATATCTAGTCAAGATCAAGAATATATTGGTAAATACAGCCTTATGAGTTTGTGATGGTTAATCTCAGTTTTTAATTTTATGAAATCTAGAATCACCTGAGAGACCTCTGGGGATGCCAGGGTGTATGTGTATATTATTAAAATATATTTTTCTCTTATGATATATTCTAATTACAATTTCCCCCTCCCTCAACTCCTCTGAAATCCCTCCTATTTTCCTGCCCACCCAAATCTATGCCCTTTCTTTTTCTCATTAAGATGCAGTCATTTTAAAAAATAATTAATAAAAAGTTAAAATAAAAACAAACCAGAATAGGACAAAACAAACAGAAGAAACAGAGCCAAGAAAAAGCACAAGAAACAAATATTGAAGCAGAGACACACACATTTGCACACACAGAAATCCCATACAACACAAAATTGGAAACCATAATATGTAGGCAAAGGATCTGTAAGGTAAAACAAACAAACAAAGAAACAAACACCTGACAAAGCATTGTAAGACAAAGAACTTTCAAAATGCCATTGAATTAGTTTTGTCCTGGTCATCTACTTGGCCTGGTGAGACTCCATTGAAGCAAATTATTTTCTCATTTTTGACCAGTTAGCAGTTGGAGATAGCTTCTGGGTTAGGAAAAGGGCTTGTGTCTTCTTCCTCTGCGCTGGAACTCTATGTGGCCCAGAATTGTGTGTTCTGTGCATGCTTACCGTCTCTGTGAGTTCATATGAGCTTTGATCTGTTATCTTAAAAGGCCTTGTTTCCTCCTGTCCTCCATTCCCTCTCTGATTCTTACTATTCTTTCTGCCTCCCCTTACGGGGTTCCCTGCGTTCTGAGGGAAGTGATTTGATGGAGACTGTGTGGGGAATTGTCCTGATTAAGTTCAAATACTCACCCTCTCTGGGTAACAGCAATCTCTAGGTTGGAGAGATCTTCCAAAAATAAGAATAAAATAAAAAGTAAAAGTAAGCTGAGCAAAAGCATTCATTCCCTGTCTGCCTCCTGACGTTGGATATAGTATAGCCAGCTACATCCTGAATGAATGTTGAAATATTGATTCAGATCTGCAGTGACTAGATGATCAACAGGATCCATCCCATTCTGTTTACAACCTAAACTAGTCCGGTAGCAGTATGTACTTCCTGTGAACTGTGAACTTTCCTCCTTTAAACTCTGTTCTCCCTTATCCCACACCCTTTACACATAGCCAATATGCAGGCTTAGTGCAAACAACTTATACTTTCCATCCCAAAATTTTCTTCATAAAAGTGGTCTCGGCTGATAGATCTAAAGGACAAATTTACATCTCTGTATCTCTAATCTCACTACTGGGAGCCGCTGAAACATGTCCCAGGAAGCTTCCTTTCTTTGTTAGCATCGGTAACAGTTCAATAAAAATAAACTCTTATTTCAGAGACCCCTCAGTCTCCGTAGTTTCAGGATCATTATAAAAGAACTTGACATATCTTTACTATTTCTTTAAAAACTTGTTGTCTATAAATTTTTTTTTATTTTATGAAGACCATTTTATTTTGGGCATACATGTGTTATGTGGTATGTGTTCATGTTTAAGTATGTGGGTATAGGCATTCTGTGCTTTTTTTTAAAATGGCTTTACGCCATTTATTTATTTATTTATTTATTTATTTATTTATTTCACCACACCTCACCCCGGCCCTGCTTGCTCTGGCCCCGCTCTCTTGCTCCGGCTCTGCTCGCTCCGGCCCAAAGGTTTTTACTTATTTATTATATGTAAGTACACTGTTGCTGTCTTCAGACACCCTAAGAGGGTATCAGATCTCATTATGGGTGGTTGTGAGCCACCATGTGGTTGCTGAGATCCGAACTCATGACCATCGGAAGAGTAGTCAGTGCTCTCAACCGCTGAGCTATCTCACCAGCCCCATTCTGTGCTTTTAGAGATGGAAGTTTGACCTCGTGTGTCTTCTTTAACTGCTCCCTACTTTATGACAAGGTCTCTTGCTGAACCTAGAGCTCACAGGTTAGTCTGACTGACCAGCTTATTCTTAAGAATTTCTTGTCTCCACTTCAGCCTGAACGGATTACACACCTATTTGGTTTTTATGTGAGTTCTTGTGTTTATATTACAAAGGCATTCCTATCTCTCCAAATCTTGTTTTCTACCTTTTGAATAAGTTGTCAATAACCCAAGTGTGGTTGAACATGCCTTTAATTCCATCACTCCAAAAGCAGAGGC